AAATAGTCCGCATTGGGTCCAACCTTCCCCCCGATAGCCAATCTGAACTGGTAAGTTTCCTTAGACTTAATGCCGACGTCTTTGCTTGGTCCGCCACTGACATTCCCGGAATTGACCCCTCGGTCATTACACACAGGCTAAATGTGAACCCATGCTCTAGGCCAATTCGATAGAAGAAGATGAATTTTGCATTGGAGCGTTGGAAGGCCATAGAGGAGGAAGTTGAAAAGTTACTCGACGCCGGCTTCACCCGAGAGGTACACTACCCTAACTGGTTGCCAAATGTGGTTATGGTAAAGAAAGCTAATGGAAAATGGCGGATCTGTATTGATTTCACAGACCTTAACCGAGCCTGCCCCAATGATAGTTTTCCTTTGTCGAGGATAGACCACCTCGTTGACGCCACTATAGGGTATGAGCTACTTAGCTTCCTGGATGCCTTCTCTAGATACAATCAGATAAAGATTCACGTAGAGGATGAAGAGAAGACCTCATTCATCACCGAACATGGCACATACTACTACCGTGTGATGCCCTTTGGCCTCAAGAATGCTGGGGCCACCTACCAGCGTCTTGTCAACAAGGTGTTCAAAGAACAGATGGGGAGGAACGTCGAAGCCTATGTGGACGACATGGGTGAAGAGCCTGAAGGCCGAGACTCACGTCTTAGATCTAGCCGAGACCTTCAACACCTTGTAGAAGTATAATATGAAAGTCAACCCTAGCAAGTGTGCCTTCGACGTCACATCAGGCAAGTTTCTTGGTTTCCTTGTCACTCAGAGGGGCATTGAGGATAATCTTGAGAAGATACAGGCCATACTAGACATGGCACCCCCACGGACGGTGAAGGAGACCCAAAAACTTATCGGCCGAATAGCAGCCCTCAATCACTTCATGTCAAAGTCGGCCAACCGCTACTTACCCTTCTTTCGTGCCATCAAGATGTTGAAAGAGTTTCAATGGACAGAGAAGTGCCAATGCGTCTTTGACGAGCTCAAGGCGTACCTCACTTCGCCTCCCCTCCTCACTCGGCCGGCCGAAGGGGAAACCCCATACCTGTACCTCTCGGCTAGGGATGAAGCAGTTACTCCAGTCCTCATTAAGGAAGATGGCGTGTGGAAGCCAATGTACTTTGCCTGCAAGGTCCTCTACGACGCCGAGACCAGGTACCCCGAGATAGAAAAGTTGGCTTTCGCTCTCGTGATTTCGGCAAGGAAACTTAGGCCATATTTCCAAGCCCACACTATAGTGGTCTTGACGAACCAGCTCCTCAAGGCCGTCCTTGCCAAACCTGAGACCTCTGTATGCCTGACGAAGTGGGCAATCGATCTTTCTGATTTTGACATCCAGTACCAGCCGAAACCCGCGATCAAAGCACAAACTCTGACAGATTTCATAGTAGAATGCACCTTCATCCGAGCCCTTCGCCAGCGCCCATAAAATGTTAAGGGAGATCATGTGGGCGATGAGGCTCAATCCCGATGGAAGATTTTTGTTGATGGCTCTTCCAATGCTAAAGGAAGTGGAGCAGGCCTCATCCTCCCCACCCCAGATGATGTTTCCTTGGAGTATGCGCTAAGGTTTGACTTTCAAGCATCGAACAACGAAGCCGAGTACGAGGCCCTCCTCGTTGGTCTCTAGCTTGCTAGGGACCTCGACCCCTCACACATCGACACCTTCAGCGACTCGTAGCTAGTGGTAAATTTGGTGAATGGCGAGTACAAGGCCAGAGAACTAAGCATATCCAAGTACCTCGCCAAAGTCCAAGATTTGGCTTGCCATTTCCAATGCTTCTCCTTGCAACGGGTCCTGTGAGCTGAGAATGCACGAGCCGACGCCCTCTCCAAGTTGGCAAGCACCTCGAATGGAACCCTAGACCGGGCTGTACATGTCGAGAAGCTACTTCGGCCTTCCATTGAAGAAGTCCAAGTACACCCCATAGAGACCGAACCTTCATGGATGGATCCCATCATCAACTTCCTATCAATTGGACGGTTGCCCGAAGACAGAATGAGGCAAAACGACTCAGAAGACAGGCAATCCACTATACCCTGCTAGAAGGGAAGCTGTACCGAAGATCCTTCACCTTGCCTTACCTCCGATGCCTTCGTCTAGAGGAGGGCAACTATGTGCTACAAGAAATTCATGAAAGCATATGCGGTAACCACCTCAGCGGGAGTGCCGTAGCCCAAAAAGCCCTAAGGCAGGGCTACTTCTGGCCTACCCTCCACAAGGATGCAACTAAATTGGTGCAAAAGTGTGATCCATGCCAGAGGCATGCCAACTTATGCCACAGGCTGGCCACCACTCTCTCGGCCCTCAGCAGCCCATGGCCCTTTGCCAAGTGGGGCATGTACCTCCTTGGCCCCTTTCCTCTGGCCATGGGGTGCAGAAAGTACCTCGTTGTTGCAGTATACTATTTCACCAAGTGGGTGGAAGCCGAGCCCTTGGCTACCATCACGGCACAAGCCATCCAAAATTTCTTTTGGAAAAACATCATCTGCCACTTCGGCCTACCCTACATGCTGGTCACCGACAATGGGAAGCAATTTGATAACGCCAAGTTTCGGGAGTGGTGTGCCTCCCTCAGCATCAGGCAACAGTACACCTCGGTTGGCTATCCTCAAACGAACAACCTAGCCGAGGTCACCAACAAGATAGTATTGGATGGGCTGAAGACCAAATTGGACCAAGGAAAAGGCCTATGGGCTGACGAACTGAACAGTGTACTCTGGGCTTACTGAACTATGCCTCGAACAGCCACGGATGAAACCCCCTTCGGCTTAACCTACAACACAGAAGCAGTAATCCCGAAAAAAATTGACCAACCGACACTCCGAGTCGGGGCATTCAATGAAGCCAAGAATGATGAAGCCCTCAGAGCAAACTTAGACCTGGTGGAAAAAGCCCGAGAACAAGCATAAATAAGGGTAACCACTTACCAACAGTGAGTGGCTCGCTACTACAACTCCAGGGTAAAAGAAAGACACTATCAGGAGGGAGACCTTGTCCTCAGAAAAGTTATGGTCCCCAAACCAGGAGTAGGGAAGCTGGCCCCCAACTGGGAAGGTCCCTACAAAATCAAGCGTGTTGTCGACCCCAACACTTTTCACCTGGAACTCCCAGACGAGCCTCAACTTTGTCTTGCCCCCCCCCCCCAATAAGGTAGGCCACCTCGGCCTCGTTGAAGCTAATGTGTAGGGACACGGGAGTCAAGCGAGCCTCGACTCTGCCTAGGCCCTGTGGAGCTAGACGGGAGCTCTGTCTCTGCCACCCCTCAATACAGTAGGCCTTTTTGGCCTCGCCGAAGTCAACACTTAGAAGAATGGGAGGCAGGTGAGCCTCAGCTTAGCCTCGACCCCCACTCTCACGTCGAGCCCCATGCTCTGCTTCGGCATCCCTCCATCATAGGTCTCCTTGGCCTTGCCTAAGTGAACACTTAAAAGGGCATCAGGCCAGGCAACCCCCAGCCTAACTGCGTAGGTTTTGCCTCGGCCACCCCTCCGCCACGCTTCTGAAGCACAAAGTAAACTGAAGAGAATTATACTTGTATCACACTATGTTTTTCTTTGGAGGGACATGGACCCTTCGGCTGCAAAAGCATAAGTGCGAAAAAACACAAGGAAAAACAACACAACAAATGCAACAGTTGAGGCAAAAAATAAAAAAATGCCACTGATTTTGATTATGCACAAAAAATTCTTTGGCTTTAAAAAGTTGTTTCATGGCCCCTCAGGCCAAATACATGTACATTGTCAAAAAAAAGAAAGAGAGAGAGAGAAGAAGAAAACAGAAAAAGCCCAGCTTAGGCCTTGCCTCTTGTAGGAGGGGGAAGAGTAGAGTTGGCAGCCTCGGGAGAATCAGGGATCACCTTCAGTGATTTGGCATCAAAGTCAAGCAGATCCACCGTGAGGGCCTTCTTAGTATCCTCGATCCCATCTAAGTAAGCCTCGGAGACAAGATCAGCCAGTTCCTCAGCCCGCTTCTCTGCCTCCTGGGCCCTCTTCTCGACCTTAGCGGCCTTCTGTTCGGCCTCCGCGGCACGCTTTGCTGCTCCCTCGGCCACCCTCTTCTTTGCCTCGGCCGTATCTCCTTGGCTTGGGTGAGGCATCGCTATATCTCGAAAAGAAGGCTTGTGATGCGGGCCCTCTTCGTCTGCTCCTTGGAGAGGCACTCCTGCGCCTCCTCCAACTATGCTTGAGCCTCCATATGGAACTTTTGTTTGTCGATGATGCTCTATTGGAATTTATGGTACTTTTCCTTGGCAGCGGTGGTAGCTTGTTGGAGCTTTCCCTTATTCTCCTCCAGCTTATCCATTTGGGCCAAGGTCAGCTTCAGCCGGTCCCCGAGACCAACATAGTGAAGGCAGACCTACAATAAAGAAACAGTCAGTACTCCACAAAAAAAAACAAAAAGGCATGAAGGAAAAGGAAGAAGCGTTACCTCGGCTAGGCTTCCCAGGTCCTGAGTGTAGATTCTCTCGAGCGCGCTTTCTAGCTTCTGAAAGCGGTCCCTCGAGAGGAGGGCCGTTCTTTCCAGGGCTTGACCAACCCCCTCCTCGCGGACATTCCATTGGGTACAGAAGATGTAGTTGGACCACTCGGTGAGCTCCTCCAAGGGTGTGGGGGCAGAAAACGACCCCATTTACTTTGTGGGACCCCCTTGAGGCGTCCCCCGTCGAGCCCCCATAACGGGCCACCTTCTGTGGGGGCTGATCCCCCGCAGCTTCCTTGGGCGGCCTCTTCTGCCTTGCCTCGGTCTCCTTGGCGGGCTTTTGCGACCTAGTGGTCGACTTCGGCGGCACGAGCTGCTCCTGCCTCGGCGGCTCCTCCTCGGTAGTTTTCTTACCCTTGGCAGGGACTTGTGAAGTTGCTCCCTTCATGGGAGCCACTGTAGTGGTCCCTTTACCATGGACCTGGTGAGAGGACTCCCCCTTCGCAGGGGTAGAGACCTTCTCCTTTTGCCCGTCAAAAGTCCTCTAAGGCATTTTAGCCCGCTCCTTCTGCATGGCATGAGCACGTTCTAGAACAGCCTTGCGGGCATCCATCGACACCTTTGCAAACAAAGCAAATCCATCAATAATGCTGCAAAAAAAAGGGAAAATGACGTGTTAAGGAACCGCATGGCCTCTCCTACTGGGGAGAGCAGGGCTGAGCCCCGCAAAAACTAGTGGGACCTCCTCCTTCACCAAAGGTTGGGCTTGGACTATCCCCAGGTTGAGAACCCACGCAAGATCATCATTCTCCTCATTCGTGAGTACGGGGACACTCTTCTCCACAGCCTGACTAACCTCTCCCCATCCTGACTTGAAGGAACAACCCTCGGGACATGACAAAAAGAAGAATTTTCCCTTCTAGTTATGCATGGAAGAAGGGTTGTCTATCGGCTCGGTCCTACGGGGTTGGAGGTAGTACATGTCGTTCTTGGAAGAATGCCTCCTTGGCACAAACAACACTCGGAAGAGCCTTGGTGTCAGTTCCACCCCCTGGAACCAAGCCACCACCAACATGGCCTCTATAGTCCTAACAGCGTTGGGCACCTGCTGGCTAGTAATCCAATACGCCCTCAACAGTTCTGAAATCAGCGGATGAAGGGAAAACCAAAGACCAAACTGGAGAAAATGTTGGTAGATGCGGATCTCCCCCTCCTTAGAAGTCCACGACCGTTTGCCTACTTCGGGCACCCTCATGCCATAGGACGAGGTAAT